CGGCGCTGCGATGGCGGCCGGTGACGTGGTGGGAGCTCGGCGCCGTTTCCCGGTCTAATCCCCGGCTTCCCAACGAGCCGAGGAATTAAAAGTAAAATAAAAGTTAGGCYAGTTACCCCAGGAGTTTGTCGCTGTAAAGGAGCAAAAGTTTAGGGCTTGCTCTCAAGTTGGTTCAAGGTGGAAGTAGAGCACAGTGGTTTCATATTTAGACTCGTCACATAAAAACTGCTCRTTTTTAACAGTACTCCCAGAAGCCRAAGTATTTCGGTGTGTGGTAGTTAGTGGGCCCTCAGGAGAGCTACCGGGCGGCTGTTTCCGYGTCCGGCCCCACACCACAGTCACAAATGGACGTGTTTCTGACCCAGCCTATCRCTCAGGAACATTCCCCGAGGAAGGAGAATTTCAACCGCAGGATGCCTGGCAAAAACTTAAACTGGTCTTGCGAGAAAGAGGGAGGTTCRCTTTGTCAGAGGAGATCTTCTTTATTGTGATAATCTCCATGTAGAGCCTGAATCTCAGAAAAGAGCTGCCTTATAGATGATTTTGCAGTGGTACAACATATATAGGTGTGATTAGTAATTTAGGAAGCTGGGTCAGATCCAAAGAGGGACTGGGGGAGATTTTGGGGCTGATGCTCTGGTTTTGAGAGACAAAGTATTTAACTGCAGCATTGCCTCCTTGCAGGCCTGCGCACAGGTTCTTGTGAGATCTTGTTGTGAATGGACCCGTCCTTAAGAAATTTACCCCTTTTTTGTTGTTGTTTTCATCTCAGCATGGGCAAGAATAGCTTCTTACTGCTTTTATATTGCTAGAGAATCTCAGATTTGCTTTATCCCAAGAGGTTTTAAATGTCCCTCTCACCTCCCAGGAAGACTGCAGGTTAAACTGGAGAAAAGGAGGGCTCCTAGTGAAAAGTGGGCTGTTGTGCAGCCAGGAATGCAAGAGCCAAGGACAACAAGCAGAAGAGGATCTGTCGCTGTCAGGAGATAGTCCTGCCTTCCCATTGCTCCCATTTGTGCTTTATATGAAGCAGTCATTGCATTAAAAAAGAAAATGATACTGAGAGCAGCTCCCCAAACCCAGAGCTCTTCCCACCTCAGTCAGTGCTGTAGGGCGTAGACATGTGGGCTTTAGCACTGGGGTGCCTTGGGGTTTTAGGCTCTACACTAATTTCTTGTTTTTTGAGGTTGTGATGCCTTAAACCACAAAAGACTGCCTKCTCTGCTATAAATATTCATGTTACTTTGCTCCAAGAAGAATTGCTATGTGGGTTTAGAAACACCACTGTATTGAGCTGAGGGAAATCATTTAGCTGAATATGCACGTTAAAAAAAATAGCAAACTGTTCATAGTAACTGCTCATCTAATGTCTCAAACCCTGCAAAAGCAAAGAGCTCTTCTTGTTTGCTGGCAAGAGCAAACCCTGACCCTCGTATTCTTGCCAAAYCAGGTCTGGTTTCTATGGAAAGAAGACAACTTCAGATGCATTTCATGAATATCTGGTCCCCATATCTATTATTCTTTGCCCAGCTATTATCATTGTTTTGGGACAGTCACTTTGTTCACTTATCTAGAAATAGATCTGAAGATCTAGATAAAAATATCTAGATTTATCCTATAGATTAAAAAAAAAAAGTGTAGTTTTAGTTGTATATAATCCTTCAGGTGTTTGCTTTCAGTTCTTAATTCATAAAAGCAGAATCTGTCTGCAACCAAAGCCAATAGCTCAACAGAAGTTGCTCATCATATACAGAAACTCTCCTTGGTCGGACTCTGCTGCATGAAACTAGTTCCTAGATCCCCTGGTCTTCAGGGTGATTTCAGACCAAGCCCTTCGCCTTCTACTTTGTCACCAGCTGCCCCTAAACTGGCACGACAATATTGCCCTCTGTAAAATTCTTTCAAAATGAAAGCGACGAGAACTTATTAGTAAGGAACCTACTGACATCGTGTGCTTAATCYTGCTGGTGAAGCATAAGAGATAACTTGCTTATCAGGCACTGGAGGACGAGCTGCAGTAGCAGCCCTGGGAGAGGACGTGGCCGATGGTGACAGCAGCAGGAAGCTGACGGAGTGGCTGAATTCCATACAGCTTTGCCAAAGTTAGAGTTTGAGCTCACACTTTGTGCAATCTCTTTCATGCTATATATATAAATTCCCACAAACTTGCTTCAAACTCATTGAAAATACAGTTATAAAAAACACATGCTTTTTCTAAAGTTAAGCTTTTCTGTCTATTTTTAAGACCTCCAGCTTTTCCATGCTTTGGAGCAGCGACTTGATGTTTGGCAGCACAGCAGTGTCTGCCCTTGACTGTCAAAAATAAAATATCTGGCAAGATTTGATTGAAACAGTCGCTGAGAGTCGGCGCTGACGTGTGTCAGAGAGTGCTGCTAAATCCAAGCGTGCCCAAAATGGGTCCGCAGCCATTAAACTTACAGCTCTCCATCTCCATGTAAGCTTCCAAAAGTGAGATTTAGCCAGTCTGGATGCAGAATAGGGCCCAGCATGCACTGAAAGCCAGTGGCACTGCAAAAGGAAAGGGAGAAGATTTCACTGTTGTGCAATWTGGGAATTTTTACATTCGCTTCCTTGAAGTTTAGAGTCCTTATCAAGTCATCGTTATCCTATAAAAGTTATAAGTACCTGATTATAACTCCTGGCAGCATAAAAATCTGCGCCTTGTGCCACAACACTGCCCACAAGATAGCAGAGAAACGCTGCTCTTGATAGACAGCTCCTCAAACAAACATATGTTGGAGCAGAACTGTTTGTCTCTCTGCCAAACAGAAACCTCCTTCAATGCTGCAAATAAGCCTAGGAGAACAACAGGTCATCTCGTAATAGGCTCAGATTCTCAGGAACAGATAGTAACCATCGCTTCAAACATCCATCATCTAGTGTATCTGAAAGACATATGTGCAGGAAGAGGGCAACTATGCAAAAAAAAAAAAAAAAAAAGAAAAAAATCAGATTTAGTCCCAAACCTGTTTATTCTACTGCTAATTGCGCAAATTCAATTTATGGGACCCCATACCTCTAAAATTCAGAGAGCGTTTTTAAACCAAATCTTTCTATGGATTCTGTAAGACCAGAACATCAGTTGTTCATCATTTAATGAAATAAGATCAAAAATAAATTGCATGGCTTTTCAGGCTCATAGGAAACTGCAAACTGTTCTGTATTCCTAAAAAAAGTAACAGCTGTGCCAGCATGGGCTCAGGGGTCTATAAACATAAAATTTAGCCCTCAAATTACACCCCCAACAAGTGGAAACCATATTCTTTTGAGCAGCTGGTTCACAGTTGACTTTGCTGGCAGCCCTGRCGTTACATTGCCACAGAACAGAGCACTGTACAGAATTGCGTTATCTGGGGTTGCAAATGAAACTGAAAACAGGCTGGGAAGATCTCAGCTACTGACTCATTAAGTTGGTCATACGCTCTGGATCTGACAGATTGTGAATCAGTCAAAACTCGTGTGGTATTTTTTGGACTGAACTCTACACTGAGGAATAAGCAAACACCAAAAGGAAATTGGACCGAATGAATTCCTTGTGCAAAGGCAAAATTCATACATAYACAAAGTGACTAAAATCTACTGCTATGTGCCAGAACATCATTTTGGCACCTGAAAGATGAAAGCCAGCAGTTTCTATGGCTAGGAAGCAGGATGGAACAGCAATAAAATAGAACTTTTATTTGCCTTCTTCCTTTTTTTTTTGCTTCTGTATCTGCACTTCAAAAGTACTATTTCAGCCACCATAGATAATATCTTTTTTTTTTTAATATTTTATACTAATTTCTCAGAATGGGAATATTCAAATCTACTACATTTTTCAAGTAGGTCCTCTGTGAAATCTTTTATGGAACTCCCTCTAGAAATTAAATCCCCTGCCAAGCATCACACCTGCCGCAGTGACAATTCCAAATATAAAAGTAGTCACTCAGGAAAGTTGCAGTGATTCCTGACCCCTTCAAAGCAATTGATCTGAGTAGGTGCTAACCTCATGGGAGAATTAACGCTGTCAGGAGGAAGTGTTGAGCAGTCTGTGATGTTGTTTGCAAAGTGATGCCATTGATTTGTAAATAGAGAGCCCCTGGGAGCTCGGAAGGGCCTGCTGTCCAACACCGGGTGGCCCCGACACGTACAGGAGACACTGCTGACTTGGTGCTTGGGTTGAAAGGGCAGTTGGGTCTCTTTTTGGAGGTCTTCAGMGGTCCTGATCTCTTTTTCCCTAATGTATAGGAAACTTGTACACCTGCTTCCCACCACAGCTGCAATCACCTGCCTAAATTAGGCAGATTTTATCCTGATTTTGTTTGGATTCAAAGGGAGGCCGTGCAGAGGCCCAGATGTCTGTGTGCAGAGCTTGGGCAGCGTAGAAAGAGACGCACAGAATCAGAGCACATGAGTGAGCGCGGCCACGGGTGGCTGCAGGACGTCTAGGAGGAACAGGCGAAGGAGTGAGGGAGCTCTGCTCTACATCAAGGAGCTCCTTGACCACGCCGTGCTCCAGGAGCAGACCRGTGTCTGCCCAGAGTGTCTGGATCCAGACTGGAGTCAGGAGGGACTCGGGATACCTTGTGGTACGTAGGGCCTTGGGGTAGGTGGTGGTTGGTAGGGTCTCTTACAGACTGCAGGCCAAGAGGAGGGTGGCCGTGAGGCTTTCTGCAAACAGCCACATCCCTCTCGCTTGCCAGCCCTTGTCCTCCTTTGGGATTTCAC